GGCATCCAAAAGGCTATCACCGGCCGGTGATCCCAAAGTTGCATCAATGAGCGGCAGGGTGGGAGTTGCATCTGTGCCGGTGGCAACACCTGGGGGCCTATTAATGGCATTGGGGTTCACCTCTAGTAGCGGTGGTGGGGTGAAATGCATGGCCGGTGGCCAGCATGGGAATACACCCCCAAGGGCAAAGTGGGCCCGAACGGAGGGAGGGGTGGAGTGGGGGCCACCTCCGGCACCAATAAATATGTGGCCCCACCGTTGGGGCATGGGCAGAGCAACAGCCGGTGGGTGAAGCCATTGTATATGGAAGAGGAAGGGTAGCCTGGTGGCCTTGTGAGATACGACAGTGTTACAAGGATGGAAGATAACCAGAGCAAGATCATTTGCCGCATATGCAGCAAAGGGATTTCCTTGAAGCCGTCATCCTTCTTAACTACAGAAAATTATGTGGGGCACCACAAGGTTGTACGGCAGATGCTGCCTATTGTCGTGGAGCTGACAGACAAAGCGTGGGCGGATGGTGTTGCTTTTCCCATGGTTGAGTTCTTTCCACAGACAGTTGAGGAGGTCCACAAGGTGGGGGTGGCATAGTACATGGAGCGGGAGGCCTTTGCCATGGGAACTGCCCCATGGCAGCAAATGTGGTCAATGATCACTCGCTGGATTGCAACGGATATCATTCAACTATTTGTTGTTGAGTCTCCAAATTTCTGCCACTTGTGCAAGGCACTCAATGGCTGCTGCCCCTCCTTCTGCCGGAAGGCCGTCATCAATGAGGTAGGTTGTTACCATGTCGGGGCATGCATTATGTGCAATATATTGCATTGTCCCATGGAATCCATGTGATATGGTCCGCAACACACAACTGCATTGGTTGTCAACCTGAAAGTGGTATTTCTGTTGTTGTCGTAGGTGGTATTTATGCACTGTTGGGTGGTGCAGAAGTTGCGGGAGATGGAAGAGTGGAATAAGGTATGACCGACCTTCACCTATGACCTTTGGCACTCCCACATGCAGCGGGAGTATCATTTAATAACCATGCACTGGATAGAGGAGATGCACCAGCATGACGGCCACACCAACCGCCAGTGGCAGTTGTGGAGCAGGTGCATGGGGTCGGTGCCAGTGGAGGTAGAGAGCATCACAGCTGAAGGTGAGGGATTGTGCAGCGAATGGGCAATAGTGATGGCCTAATTGGCAGTGGTCATAATGTTTCTTATTTACGATATTTGCTTTTATTGCTTGTGTATGCAGTGGTGGTGGACCTAGCCCAGAAGGAGCTTGAGAAGTATAGGATGACGGGTTGGTGGCCGTCCTTTGTCACAGATGCCAGGAGCAATATCAAGTGGGCTAGTAGGGGAGAGCTAGCCCGAGATGAGGTTGGGGAGCAACCCAGAGGCGGCATGGTAGATTGGTCACATTGTGCCGGCCACATGCTCCACAACGTTGTAGCCCATGGACTGACCCACCTACGCGTCTGGTCCATCCACATTGAAGGCTGCCAAAAATTGTGCGATGCAATAGACTGGTAAGTTATGATATTGATGTGTTTTGGTGTGTGATACTATGTGTGCATGCATGTTGGTGTGTATTCGTGTGTGTTGCAACTACTATAACTGTAGTTGTTTTGAATTATTTTATCAACAGTCTACATGTGTCCTTGCAATGGCAGGGTCTCCTCGCTGGTGAACTACATGCGTGCTAGCGCAAAAGCCACTGCTAAGCTACACAGGCTACAAGTGGAAATAATGTTGCTGTGTGTGCATGCATGTTGGTGTGTATTTGTGTGTGCTGCAACTGCTACAATTGTTGCTATTAAGGGACTATTTCATTAGCAATCTACATGTGTTCTTACAATGGCAGGGTCTCCTCACTGGTCAACCACATGTGTGCCAGCACGAAAGCCATTACTGAGCTGCATAGGCTATAAATGGAAATAATAAGGGAGGATAATAACATAGTTTCTAATGATGATGAGGGGGTGTCTACATCAGAGGTGCCCTCTGATGAGCCAGGTGAAAATGGCAGGAGGCCCAAGATGCGGAGGGTACTCCAACTAGTCAGGTGTGTGGAAACTTGATAGAATAGTATAATTTTTATGCTGCAAAGGGTTGTGCACTTGAGGAAGGCCTTCAACAGATAGTTTGGGCTACACCCCGAATACGATAATCCCATCGAGATTACACAATGGGGCTACCTAAAGGCCCTCCTCCCAATCTTGGTATATGTGAAAAGGTGCTGTGAGAGGCTCGAGGCGGAGGCATACCCCACGGGCTCCAAACCAAGTTGTTGCATCTCTAGGGTTTTCTTTACCACATGGCCAATGTGGACAACAAAGAACTATACCGTTGGTTGGTGCCATTTTGCTGTGATATGCACCATAAGCTAGAAGAGGTGCTTAGCGACTACATGTGGGTCTGGCAGATGGTCTTTTTGGCTACGATGAATCCTACTATCATAATATATTAAACCCTTCTGCATAGTAACGTAACGCAGGGCCCTTTTTCGCGGAGTCGATGAATAAAAAAATAATGGTGCCAGAGCGGGATGCGGAGTAGCCGAATTTAGTAACGGCCGGGGCACGGCCTCGGGACAGGGCCCCGGGCACCTGGTAGGCCACTGGGCCGCCCAGTGATCGACCGCCACGGTCGATCGGCATGCAGGCCGGCTCCCGCCGCTTGCCTACCGGGCGGCTCGGGCCTCAAACCGTCGGAAGCGATTGCAGGCATATGCCAGTGTGATCGCGGATTGGATCGATTGGACACAAGGCGGCCCATAGTGGGCCGCCGACCCCGCCTTGCGCCATCCTCTCGGCGCTCCCCGCCACCTGAAAGGCTCATGGGCAAGCGATCAGTAGGCAGGTAGGCGCCTGCTACCTGCCATCCGGGCGGTGGGGAGAGTGGGCGCTCATGCCGAAGGTGCCAATATGGCATGGAATCCCACGAGCGGGGAGTGGGGGTAATCGGCGGGCGCATGCGCGTTGACCAATAGCCGGCGGGGGAAGGGGGGGGGGGCGCAGCGTCGCTAGGACTCTTGGGAACCGTTCCAAGAGCTGGGTGGTTGATATCGCACGGTGCACGCACGAACAAGGCTTGGGACTAGTCTGTTGCATCTGAAACTTGGGATACAGCCTCTAGAAGGCCCTTGGAGCCCACGTGACACGATGCGGAGCAAGAAAAAAATTATAGTAACGGTCCGGGATGAAAATGCGGAGCAAAAATGTAACAGTCGGGACAGACCAATGCGGAAGGGTTGAATATACTATGGTAATGAGCAATCGCTGCTAATCACTCTGTGATGGTGCTGTTGGTGTTGTGCATTGTTTTTCATTGTGGTGTCATTCACATAATCGAACATATATAAAATGTCAGAATTAGTGCTGATGGGTTGCATAGTGTGTGTGCAGTGTACGCATGGAAATATATCCTGCAAGGGTACATAATGCTACTGGATCCCATCAGGGAGAAGTTCATATTGGTGGATGCTGTGATGGATGACATGTCGGCTGAGTTGCTGGAGTTGTGCCTAAAATTCGCGAAGGGCATTGGATAGTCAGAGGCATCAGGGCAAGCGGGTCTACCACTAGAGGTGGCCACCCGGATCCGTTAATAGCGGACAGAGGTTAATTTCCGTTAATTTTCCGTTAATTAACGGAAAATAACCAAAAAAATAAAAATTAACCAAAAATTAGCGGATTTTTGGATTTTTTGGGGATTTTTGGGTTTTAGTCATACTTATAGTTTATGGAATTCGCTATTAGAGAGTATGTTTGTATTTTATTTCAACCTATGCATACTAGATTTTCAACTAGCCGCAGTTGTTGTGAACTTTTGGGGTTTTTTTCGATTTTTTTGGATTTTTTTCATTTTTTCTGAATTTTTCTCCCTTTTTCTTTAACGAAATTTAACGGACAGCTGATAAAAATTAACGAACCGGATTTAACGGACCGGATGGCACCTTTGAGTGGCCACCTCTATCTACCACCCCATCATGGACAGCGGACCATGCGCAAGAAGAGGGAGAAGCGCATGGGACACAAGACATTTGGCACTAGCTCCAAGGAGGACAATGATGCAAGGCGGGGCAGGGGCCCAAGGGCAAGCGGTGCGCGGGCCTAGCCAACTTGCAAACACTACAGTGGGTGGTGAACTGACGGATGCCACACAATGGTTGATCGCGCGACATGTTCAGAAGTTCCTAATGGAACGCTGGAGTTTGTGTGAGCCAAGTGCCCCATGAGAGGAGGATGCATTAGATTATTAGGCACGGAACAGTGCTCGATGGCCGATAGTGGTGTGGGTGGCCCGGCACTCATTGTGTGTGCCAGCTGCAAGTAGTGCGTCAGAACGCGGCTTCTCGGTATCCGGCCATACTGTGCGATCTCGGTGGGCATCTTTGGGGGACGAACGCATTGAGCAACTCAGGTTCTTGTCCGGCAACACCAACTTGTAATTCTTGGGGGTGACTTTGGTTTGTCTCGAATTGGACTATGAGCTTGCCCCTAGTAGGATTGTGGTTCGGTATGGCGCCAAACCAGAGCTGGTATGGCATCGACCTAGCACCGGTCTGGCACCAGTGTGGCAGCGCCCCTAATGTAAAGGGGGCGGTCAAAGGACCCCTTTTGTCAAGATATCTTACCGAGGACCACCTTTGGTCATTTTCCTTTTTTTTTCACGGGCGCGAAGGAGCCATTGCCTTTCACGTACATTTGCGCGTACCCGGAAGCTACTGGGTAATGATGCGCATCACACCCCTTGAAACCACGGCCTGCGCGGCACAATGGCACGCCAGCGCCCCCCTCCCGGCACAAACAAACCCAATCGCGAACAACAGCAGGCACCGGTCCTCAGACCCCGTGCCGGGCTCCCCACGCGTTCCCAGCCCAACCCCCTTCCCGCTCCCCACTTGCCCAGGATACGTGCTGCTGGTCCTCCCTGCCCGCGCCCAAACCCGTTGCCCTCGCGGCGGCGAAACCTTGAGCGGCGGATTGCTGCCGCGGGATGTATTCCGATTTCAAGGGAAAGGCGATCGGTGAGTCAGATTTTTGCGGCCGCTTTGCCCGAAACGGGGATCGGGGGTCGTGAGTTTCTGGGAGCATGGGGCTCAAAAGTGTTGGTTTGGATTCTTGTGCTGGCCCAGAGTACGTGAAAGAGGCTGTGAAGGAGGATGAGGCCGGCAACTTCGAGAAGGCGGTGACCCTATACCTGACTGCCCTGGAGTACTTCAGGACGCACCTCAAGTATGAGAAGAACGAGCGCGCCAGGGTGGCCATCACCGCAAAGGTGGGGGCGGGTGGGGGGAAGGGGTTTGGGAACTTTTGTAGGAATTGGCCGGGGCCCTGTTTTGGGGAAGAGCTGGGGGATGCAGGAACTCATCAGAGAAGAGGGGAGCGGGCCACACAACGGGTCCCCTCTTCTTGGCATCAAGACTTGCTGGAATGCTCTACAGATGTTCCAAGGTGAAGTGGAAGTCATCAAGGGCAAGGATGAACGGCACGAGACGGGGAGCTGGGCGAATGTGGGAGGGCGCTCGGGGCTGCGGGACGTCGGCAGTGTTGTGCACCGGTGGGGGGGCGTTGGACTGCGCGAGATTTGGGTGGTGGGTCACGCTGAAGGTGCGTGTGGTGTACAGTTCGAGGAGTACCTGCAGCGGGCGGAGTACCTGAAGGCGCAGCTGAACGGGCAGGTCGCGGAATCGACGTCGGGGCCGTCGGCGTCGCCCGGGGCAACGTCGCAAAAGCCCAAGCCCAAGAACAACAAGGATGACGTAAGGGGTGGGAATCTGGGGCGCCCAAACGCGTTTCTGAGGTGTTCTGCGGTGTCGAAATGCGTCTTTGGGGGGCGATGCGGACAGCTTGGGGCTATGCGGCTGTGGAGCACAGGGGGCGGTGGGGCGGTATGTGTGTGGGTGGTGGGTAGAGGGGTGAAAGTGGGGGGGGAGGAGGATGGTTTTAGAGGATAGTTGTCCTGGGCAGCTGCCCAGTTGGTGATGATTTCGAGTCTTGTGGTTGAAACAATGCGGTTGGGTAACTGCAAGGCGTTCTGAGCTTTGGGGCTGTTGGCACACAGAGGGCGTGAGGGTTTGACGCAGTGCAATGGTGTGGAACTTGCAGGAGGAAAAGGAAAAAATGGCAGGCTCCTTATCTGAGGCAATCATGGCTGAGAAACCAAACGTCAAGGTGAGTGTACTGTCGGGTTCAAGGCATGCATGGAAGTCTGCCGATTCCCAGCTGACATAGCTACTTCAGCAGTATATTGGCAGCTCAAGCAGTTGCACATGTGCCCCTTAATGGGCTTGAATTTTACTTCATGCTGTGAGGTCTCAAGAACTCTGCTGTGTGTGTGTTTGCCCTCTTGTGGTGCAGTGGGACGATGTGGCAGGGCTGGAAGGCGCGAAGGATGCGCTGAAAGAGGCTGTGATCCTGCCTGTCAAGTTTCCACAGTTCTTCACTGGTAAGCTTTCTCAAGCACTCTGTTGTGTGTGCCCCTGGACACAAAAGTGACCGAGCACTGCCCTGGCAACTTCACAAGGCAACGACGGGCCCTACAGCTCAGGGTTTTGTCACAGAATGTACTTTGTGGGTCTTTGGTGGCTGCAAACATGTGTGACAGCACCTTGGGCGACGTGCCCGGCAGCAACAATTGTGGCCATTTGAAGCATCTGGGCAGTCATTCTGCAAAACCATTGGCAGTTCTGCAAAGATACAAGGCAAGCTTCAGGGTCGCCCGTTCTGACCCATGGTGTTTTGTGGCACCAAGGCAAGAGGAAACCCTGGAGTGGTCTGCTGCTGTATGGCCCACCTGGGACTGGAAAATCGTACCTTGCCAAGGCAAGTTGAAAAAACCCTGTGCATCCCTGCATCTTGTATTTGGGTAGAAACTTTCTCGATTGGTTTGTTTTGCATTGTGGGCTCTAATCGTTGCAGGCCTGTGACGTTCAGTGCTCAATTATTGCTACTATTACCCTCGTTGATTGCTGGATGGTGTATGCATTTGGGTTTGTGAAGAGATGACCAAAATATGTGGAACTGTGCAGAAATCAACTGTGTCAAGTTGACTCTGCCCATGCAAGAACAGCTGTCATGTGTGCACTAATGACTGAAAGATTGTCCTGGTTGTCAATCAGTTGGAGGGCGTTCGAATGTGCCGGCATCAAGCCTCCACTGGTGTCTACAGCGAAAATCATTGGAGTTTGTGCTGGAAAAAGCTTCACACTACTAGTATGATTTCCTTGAAAAGAAAATAAATGGGGTGTGTTTATGGTGTAGGCTGTGGCTACTGAAGCCGATTCAACATTCTTCACCGTTTCATCTTCTGATCTGGTGCGGTGGGACGGGAGCAAATTGCTGCTGGCATGCTTCTTTGTCACGCAATCAATGGGAAATCTATGCAGTACTCAACCTCACCCCATACGTGGCATAATCTGAGAGTGCTCTTTGTTGGATTGTGTTGAGACGTGTGGATTCTGTCTCACGTATTACAAGCAGCTGCCTTTCAGTGGCTGTGGTTTCCAGACCTTGCTTTTGAGCGTCTCAATTTTTGACACAGGTCAGCAAGTGGATGGGTGAGAGCGAAAAGCTGGTCGTGCAACTGTTCAAGATGGCAAAGGAGAAGGCCCCTTCCATTGTTTTCATTGACGAGGTGAAGAGCACACTGTTTCCTGTTGCCTATCAGTAGGACAGCTGCATGTTTGGATGGTCTGAGAGCCTTTGAGTTACCCTCGTTTACTTCATGGGTTGAAATGTGACAAGGCACTGGCGTTTCGCCCATGGAGCGATGTCAAACAAGAGCCTTCGGGAGTTCTAGTTGTTGCTGTTGTGCCACAACGATCGTCCCTCAGTCTGTGGGTTCTCCGGCGATTGACAGGATCTGTGGCATCTTTTGAGCCTTGGCCTGTGGTATCATCGCTGATTCTGTCGTGTTCTGGTTTCTTGATTCCATCAAGTCATGCCCTTCGATCTGTGTCTGACCTCCATGTTCATGCATTGTTCTGCATACTAATTTGGACAAAGATCTTGACTGAACCCATTGCAAACCAAGATCGTATCAAACAAAGAAGTTGAAAAGCCAATGACCTTTTATTAGACAAGAATGTAACGGTGGCTCTAATCATTTTTCCCTGTAGCAGCTCCATTTGCTTGTATCAGCTGGCAGGGGGCTGGCATCACTGACCAGGCAGTTAGCTGCTGCTGCATGGTCAAGCTTTACAGCCGAACCATCCATGCTCAGTGCTTTGCCTAGACACCAGTGTTTCTTGGTGCAGTGCTGTGTCAACACAGGCACTTAGCAACTTCATGCAGTAGCATCTTCTAGGATCTGGAGTAACCACAACTGGCAGGAGGTACTGGCCTGCCTCCGAGAAACCTTGGCCAAAGTGGTGTGATTGCTCACAGAATTGCAGCACTGTTTTTCTGTTTGATACAGTAGTAAATAGCGAAAACATCACCGCTTCACAGATCGACTCCCTGGGAGCTGCCAGAGGTGACAGTGAGAGTGAGGCAGCCCGCCGGATCAAGACACAGCTGCTGATCGAGATCACAGCGGCGAAGGAAGGCAAAGATAGAGTGCTGGTGCTGGGAGCCACAAACTTGCCATACATGCTGGACAATGCTCTTAGGAGACGTTTCGACAAGGTAAACAGCTGGGCCTGCTCAGGGAACTCGTCACACTCTGTGTGGTAATGATATCGCGGATTGGTCATCGCACCTGAAAGCAGAACCACGAACCCAGAAGCCCCAGTTTCTGAACATGATGAGCCCAGGCCAGCATGAGACCTGGGAATGGGATGCACACACAACAAAGAGCTGCAAGCAGTGAGCTACACTCCATACAGCGCCAGCGTAGTTAATGAAGAGTCTTGCCCCACCTCATTGCATCCCTGCCAACGGACAGGAAACGTCTGTGGGTTTGTGTGAGCGCAATGTGTCAGTGCTTCTGGGTATAGTATAGTTTCCAGGCAGTATTGGCCATTGGCCAAGTGTAGTGAGGGTCGTGGTGACAGCTCACGAATGATGCGGTAACATATGTGTGCTACAAACATGCGTGCAGGTGTGTTCACCACGTAAGCATCACATTTCAATAGCAATCGGGTCCCAGCAGAGGATCCGACCAATCAGATCATTCGCACTGTGACAAACAATCGACCAGTCAGCATTTGTGGCTGTTGCATTGAGTGCGCCATTCATTATGTGTGCAGCGAATCTACATCGCGCTTCCTGAGCAGCACGCCCGAGCGCACATGTTCAAGGTGCACCTTGGCGACACTCCGCACAATGTCACGGAGAAAGAATTCCAAATACTGGCAAGCAGGACGGAGGGCTTCTCTGGCTCGGACATCGCCGTCGTGGTCAAGGACGTGCTCATGCAGCCAATCCGGCTGCTGAAGGAGTGCACACATTTTAAGCAGGTGAAGGACCCGGACGGGCAGATCAGCTACTCGCCTTGTTCGCCAAGCGACCCCAATGCAGAAGAGAAGAACCTATCATGGTTCGTTGAGAATGACATGTCCGATCGTGTGATGCCACCGATGATCACTTTTCGGGATTTTGAGAAGGTTCTGCTGAAGGCCAGGCCGACGGTGAGCCCGAAGGACCTAGAAGTCTTTGAACAGTTCACGCGGGAGTTTGGAGAAGACGCCTGAACATGCTCGGTGGTGGTGTGGGGCCCACAGCGTGGCATCGTAGGAGTCGCTGCAAGGGCGGACGACGCCAGGCCCCTTTTGTTCTGTGCTTATGTGCAGTGCTGGTCAGCATGGGCCCCAGGCACGGCTGTTGCTGTGTAGGTTTGCTGCAGCGTTCGGCTTGGCCCTTCGAGGTGTGTTGACCCTGCACAGGGACGTGGGGCGAATGGTGAACGCGTGCAACATCAGGGGAGCACCAAGCTACCATGGGCATTGTTTTGGTTTGTAAAGTAGTATTGGCGCCTACAAATTGAGTTTGGATTGGTGGTGGGCCATTGTTCAGGTTGTGGTTCAACGGGGTGTTACCACTGGCAGGCAAACCTGAGGTAATCAAGCCGTGCTTGTGCGTGCAAGAACACATTTGCACCTGTCTTGGCTTTTACGGGACTGCAAGGTGTTGTGGGGCATGAGCTGCGACCTGCCACTCAAGAATATCCTGTGCATCGCCCGGCAGTGGCTACTGCAGAGCGCGCATTGGACCTCCTGAATGGCACACCAAATTAACACGATTCTGACCAGTTTTTTTGTTGATCACACGTTAACATGACTCGGACACGCACTGAGAATGGCCACCCCTCGCAGGGAAAAAGTGTTTTCATCCGTGTGGCGTGCCCGCTCAAGAGGACAGCAGTTTCGAATGTGCTGCGGGCCGGCTGAATGTTCGAGAATGGTTTCGAGTGTCTATTGCCGCATGTCTGTGCCATCCCTTCCCTCCCAACCGAATATGAACCGTTGGGAACGCGCCTTCGCGGCAAAGCAGCCCCAGAACGCCGACTCGGAGCAAGCAGGACAACAGTCGCCGGCGGGCATGATCCTCATTCATGGCCTTCACCCAAATACGGCGAAAAAATCGTAACCGATCCGTCTATTGGGACACGTCGCACAGGGTGCCCTGGACTGCGGGCTTGTGCAAGATTTTGTTACAAGCCGCAAAAGAAACATGGCATCCACAAGGGCAGCCCTCAATCAAGTGTGTATGAGACGCTGTGCCAACGGATGAAACGGTGATCCAGCGTCTCCGAGGCGGCTAAGCACACGACACACGCAGAAACCACGAAGAGCAGGAAAAAATGCATTCAGGTGGTGGGGATCAGGGAGACAGCGTTGTCTGCTGTGTCCCCTTGCTCGTGGGATACCCATTTCCACCTTCAAATTGTTGCCTTCTCAGCCAGATAGAATTAACACTCCGATGGCACCAATGTGGCCATGGAACGTCAGTGGGAAGGTGATTTCGTACATGTCGGACACGTGGGCGTGGCTTCCAGGGGTGGACAAAACGCAGATCGGGCTGCTCTGCAGCCTCCGCTTGCGCCCAACACAGCCTCATTGCTCTCGGTGTACTTTGGTGCGTGTTACCTTGGTGTTGTATCGTACTGCGGTGCATTATTTTAGCACATCGACACGCGGGTCGGAACCATGAACGTGTGTCACCAGGTTGGAATCACAAAGGCGTACTGCTCACAGGAGTAGTGCTGCCAGAAGCCAGCCACACCAGTGTTTGCTCAAACACTGGTGTGCTTGGCTTCTCGTTTGGTAGCTGATACGATTGCCCTCAAGTGCGGATTGCTCACATTTCAAAATATGTTCGCCAACACGCTGCGCGTCGGTCTGCCACCTGCACGGCCGTCTGGCAAGCTTATAGAAGGCTTCATCCCCAAGCGTTTCGACCGGCACTCTTTAAATGAATGGAAGGTTTTCCAGCGGCACAGAAATGGTGCGCATTGGTCATGTTCGATCAATGATTTTGCGGCAGCCTGGGATTGTCGCTCCCATGCACTGGCGAACGCCCGCAGGACGGTGCGCGCAGCTGGGACTGTGTGGAACCCGACAATCTGTGGCCAAGACGGTGTGTGGCCAAGCGGTGGCAGCCTGGGCAACAGGACTGCTGCTGATTGGACTGCTCGGGAGCTTGTCGGATTGGTCGCCAGACTGCAAATCCAGCAATTCATGGCATGTCGAGGCTGGCAGCGCTGCAAGTCCTGGCGAATTGTTTGCGCCCAGGCAAGGCTCCACAGAGCTTGAGCAGCAGGGGAGGGCATCTCCTTGCCTGCACGCCGAATTTTGCCATGAGCCTCGCAGCACCGTCAATTGGGTCCACCCGACGGCTGTCAACTTCCCAGTGCATCATCCATTTGCCTGGCTACCCATGGGGTGGTGAAGGGAGCAAGGGCCGACAGACTGCAGTGACAGCTTGTGAGGATTGTCCGATACCTGCCATTGCCAGGTATGAAAGCCATGAAGGGGCCCTAAAAGCCATGAAGGGTATTGGGACTTACCCCACTCCACCCCCCAAGCCCAAAAACACCCTAGAAAAAGTCAGGAAAAAATGTCAGGACGTCCGTGACTTCATGACTTCATGATTGCATGACTTTTATGGCCTTCATGACTTTCATTACATTCATGACTTCATATCTGAAAATGAAGGGTGTCCGATAATGAAGGGCATCGGACAATTGTGCAACTTTGTCGCCGCGCGCTTTGACGAATTTCTCAGCCAATTTGGCGATGGCGAACACCATCGATTCGATGGCATTGCGCCATCAATTAATATAAGGCGCGTAGGCTGCGAGCTTGTGGAGCGGGCTGGAAGTCGAAGCCGATGAGCCCACATTTGTCAATGATGAGCGTGCATTCACTGAACGGGTTAACGGGAGTTGTATCCATCATATTAGATGTGAGGACGCTGTGTGTGTACAAGATGCTCGGGGCGGCCCTCTTGCATAGGAGATATGACAAACACGACGTACATGGTGTATATGCAGGGTGAAGATGGTGGCAGTAAGGGAAGATGCTGTGTCGATTTGGGTACGCTTAGCGACAATTTGACCCCAAGCGTCAATCCCTGTGTCGAAGCCAGGATGACTCAGCAACATTACCTAACAGTGATATTCAATTTCCAAGTGTTTCTAAGGAATGAGACAATCAAAGTTGTGCTGATTTTAGCGGGTTTAAAAATTGGATTCTAAATGCCATTATAGTTGAGGTGGGCAGCCTCAATGGCTGCAGATTGACCCATTCTAAGGACTTCTTTGTAGATCAAACACTTGCAGGAGCCTTACGAGCATGTCACGGGATCTTTGCCACTTAGCAGTGGCGCTTTTGGGCACCTCCCCTCCTTATGTCGATTTTGTGGCAATTGCATAATCTCTTAGCCTCGCAGGCCTGGACACCCCCCCACCCACACCCCACCCTCCCTTAGCGTCAATTTGCGGCTGAGCGCACATAGTGTCTTCCAACGCAACACTGCGTATTTGACCTAGAGGGTACTGAGTAAGCCACCTTTTACGATCTGTCTCCTGTTCCTGGGTACGGCCGAGGGTGAGAGTGTGCCAAGCGCTGGCCAGTGCTGTTTGTGGACATCAACATTTAAAGTATTTGCTCGTCCAAGACATTGGAACTGGTTGTTTGCAGCGCAACACAGCGCACCTGAATGGGCACGTCATGTCAATCCTTTGATTGTCAATTTCGTTGGGCCCCTTGCTCGCAGGCTGACGGACGCTGCACTCCGCCGATGCTGTTGTGCGGACCCGCGGGCAGGAATCAGCTGGACGGAGATCCAAAGGATCAAGATCATCAGGGCAGAAATTTCGCGCGACGATACAATGTGCATGGAAATCTTATGTTAACATGTGGGCACAGGATATCTGCGTATTCAAACCGTGCAGTGGCTCAAGGCCACACGCACGGAAAATAGCACGCCGCGCATATTTCTGAGTGTCCCCAATCAAGCGGATGAAAGCCCATTGTGCAGTGCGGACCCCCAGCGACGTTGCCGTCTTCGCGCTCAAAGCCGTCGTCTCATTCTGGCAAGCCTCCCCGGCGGCTCTGCTTTTGGCTCCAGGCCACACAAATGACTTGGCCGCTTGATTGAAATCACGCCGACCCACCCGACCGACCCCCGACTGCTTGGGCCCGACTCCTTGGGCCACCCCATCTCGCGCCAGCGCACGCGGCTCCTGAGCCCTTTGTTCACAAACATCGGCACGTGCGCACGCTGCGTCATTTCCTGACGACGGACTTACCCAAGCCCTGAGCAGCCACGGCCATTTGCGTGTCAGGCCATCCGTGGCTTGCCGTCCCTTGAGTGATGGTCTGACGCGCAAAATGGGCTGCCCGGAGACTGGCCGGGTGCTGCACTTCGGCTGGCCATTGTCCTTTCAGCCCGTCCTTCGGAGGGGTGCTGTCCACCGACAGCCATTTTGCGCGTCGGACTATCATTCAGAGATTGGGAGGGTGCAGCGCTGTGGCCCGTCACTCCCCAGTCAGACCACCACGGGTGCTGTGCTTTGGTCTGCTCAGTTGATCACCGGGATGCCTCTCCGCCCACCCTTAGCCCACCCCATCCGCCCTGGATGACAGGAGGGGCGTGTAAGGGCGCACCCCACCGCGCCGCATAGCTAGCGAGAGCGGGGTGGGGAGTTAAGGGCCGAGCGGCCGTAGGTACCCGAGCGAGGGGGCGGCTGGCGGGGGATGCTGCCCGGACTGCGCCCGCGGGCTGGTGGGAGCGACCGCGCCGTCACAGGGGCGTAGATGACGCAGGTGTGCAAGGATATGGGGATCATGGAAAACAGGGAAGGGGGGGGTGGGGGGGTGCGGTTTTCGGGATGCGGGGCTGCGGGATGGGGTGAGGACCTCTGTGCAGCGCAACGGGCGCCGGAGGCGCTTGTTTTGGGTCGATTCCGAGCCATTTGGGCGCAGCCCAGCGATTGCTCTGCGGTACAGGGGGGTGGACACAGGGGGGTGCAGGGGGCTGATTGGCGGCAGGCCTTGTCTGTCCGAGATTTCTGCGTGTGGTGACCTTTGCGGTGTGTAGAAATGAGCGCCAGAGGCCGCTTGGGGCCGATCATCGCCGCCCTGCTGAGGCTGCGCCGGGCGCACGGGGAGGAGCCGGACTCCTGGGCCCTTTAAGCTCTCAACTCGCTTTTCTCCGGCGGTCGGAGGCGCACGTTGGCATACCTTGCATTCTGGCTCCCGCAGAGGGACAGGAGGGAGGGCACTCATTTTTCGCTTCGCTGCTCGGCCCGCGACTTTCGCTCTCAGCCGATTTTGTCGTGCAAGCCGCGAACTCAGTTTGAGGCACGCGGTTTGGGCGCCCAGGACGTCGATGCGAAGGCATTCTTTTGTAGCAGGTGGGCGCATCCCGTTGGCTTGGCCCCAGGGCTACCCCTGGGCGCCAGGCCTTCCGCCCCACCCCCCTTTTTGTCGGCATGCGCCCCACTGGCGCCACCCGCAGGCAAGGTTTGGTCTCGTGGAGCCGGTCGCGGATGGCCTGTCGGTTCAGAGCTCATTCCTGACATCTTCCAGATCGGCTGAATTACGCGCGGGGCCGCCTCAGCGGTTAGTCATCCGGTCCCACCTGCAACATGAAAGAGGTTGCTGGCACCCTCCAAGGCGCACCCCACAGCCCTGCGCGCTGTGGGGCGTGGGTCGCCGTGCCCGCTAACATAGTTATCAGTGAGCTGCTGTTTCGGATGCCTCGCGCGATCTCCGGACACCTCCTTTGCCGAATAATGGCTGTCTTGCGGTGAATGGACGCCGATAATCGTCGACACGACTGTGTGCGAGGGCGATTCCAAGGTCTGCGTTCATGCACTGCTCCTATCTGTGGCCCAATCTGCCCATTCCCTTTCCGATGGCCGTGTGGTGGTGAACAAACGCCAAAAGTCGTCGAAATGATAGTGTGTGAGGGCGATTCCCAGGTCTGCATTGATGCATTGCTCCTATCTATGACCCATTATGCCCGTTCCCCTGTCGACTTGCATGGAATTTGCGCACCACACCGTTTGGGCACTGTGGTTTCCTGCGCCGCAGGAATGTGATGGCGTGAAGGGCGGTCAGCAGGAGTGGGGCGCAGGTATGGTCGTCTGCGAGGGCGGGGTTTGCAAAATGAGGGGGAGTGCCGGAGGGAAGGCCGCCTGTTCAGCGCTTCAAAGGATGTCCTCGGAGCCGCCCCCCATCAAATCGGCGAACCCCCTTGTCCGGCTTGAAGCTATGGTGAGTCGAGTTGTCCCGTGCCGGGGTTTTCTATAGTATTGTTGAAGTGCGGATGGCAAAGGGTATGTCTGACCAGGCATCGAACCGGATACCTCTTGGTGGGGTGTCCCCCTGCTCTACCATACCACCTGGTCCAGGAACAGGAAGAGGGTAGTCCAGCCCCTTCCACCCAACAAGTATGGAATCCATAAAGGCCAAAGCCCTTGAAGCAACGAGGCTGGTGCGGGGGTTGAGGCCCGTTCAGCAGCATGCGCGCGGTGTTTGTTCATAGAACCCAACGGGGTGGGTCAGCGATGGGTGAGTGCTGGGACTTTGGGGCTTTTGGGGCGCAAGGCAACCATGAGAGCGTCGCAGAAACAGCTCACAAGTTGTCATGTTGGCTATGTGATGGGAAGGTGTGCATTCCTTGACATGGTGCGGCCTGATGTGCTTGTGTGGAGCAGTGGTCGTTGCAAAAATGAGTTGAATTTGCTGATGAGGACAGGATGAACATGAGTGGTCACCACTTCTTTTTTTGTCCCTCAACTGCCACCTTGGCTGGTACCCTGCCAGGAGCTCGACCTCAGCCCATGTCTGCGCTTTCTTGACAGAAACAGCCTCATTCAAAACTGCCCATCGAAGCAGCTGCTGTCTATCTTCTGCATGGCCCTGCTCTCCTTCCTCTGTTGTGGACTCGTGTCTGCACTGGTTCATGCACTGTCTGTTTTCACCATCATTTTGCTTGGTCTTTGCTTCCTGTCTTCTGGGACATTGTTAACAGGATATAGGCAGTGCACCTCACAGCATTCCACTGTATTGCAGGAACGCCTTCTTGCACAATTCCGGCATGTGGCGGGCAAGACAGGGTGCCTGGGACCAAAGGAGTTTAAAAAGGCTGCGGAAATCAAGTCGGATTTTTTTGCATCCCGTCTGTTCAAGGCGATCGACACAGATGGGAACAGTCTCGTGACATGCGATGAGTTTGTCAACTTCATGTACACACTGGAGTGCCAAGACATGCGGGGTCGCCTCCAGATCCTGTTCAATGTGTATGATATGGATGGCTCTGGAGGGTTGACCCTAGATGAATTGATTGAGCTACTGTTGGTGAGTATGGAATTCATCAGAGGTGTGGAGACCGACTAATGGAGAACATGCCATTCCATATGTTGACCACCCACTGCCCACAAATGAGCATTTTAAGAGATGCTTTGTAGACTGCGATGCAAAAATCTGTGAGCACATGATGAAAGCACATTGAGTGACAGGATTCTGCAGTTGCTGATTGACTGCATTTGCTGCTTATGCATTTTGGCAAACACAGTACTTTCCTGTGGGAGCCGTTACCTCGAGTCTGCTGGGCCAAACAGTGCCCCTGCACCCTTTTAGCAAAGTTCCTGTGTCTATGTCAGTCGATGAAAACAAAGCAGGGCCCTTGTCACTTGCAGGCGATGATAGGCATGTGTGCATCCAGAAACCTTCTGCTGTCCCTCGTGCTTGTGGCAGTGTTGCCCATGCATACAGCCACGATGAACATTGGTTTGTAACCGATGGGTAAACTTGTGGACAGGGAGTTATGCTATCAGCACTGACAGGGACCCTGCTGGGGGAGCCGTTGTTTGGCACCAGCGACTCGTGAACAAGTGCTGTGGCAAACCTGATGAGCAAGTGTCCTGCCACTGTCATCAATGTGACTCAAGTAGTGCATTGAAGATGCTGTAGAATGTGACATTGCAGTATTGTTTTACTGAATGGCTTTGTAGTTGCTGATAGCCAACTTTATTGTTGTATTATCAACTTTGTACAGGTGTTGCTGAATTGCTGCACAGGATCGACATGTTTGCTGCAAAATCTTGCATCTTCACACTTTCGGCTGCTACAGAAGAAATGGGACCATGTCTGTCTCGACTTTGTTGCTGACTTGCAAGGTCGTCTGCTGCTCTGAAGAAACAATTGTCTTTGTTCAGCTTTTGATCCGTGTGGCTTTGTCTTGTGGGGAAGGCGAGCGTGCAAGAGAGCAATTCTCAGATGGAGCTAGAAGTCGTCGAGCACCTTGCGCAAACCATAATGGATAGCTTCGATGTGGATGGCGATGGGGAAATATCGTTTGAGGAGTTTGTGGTGAGTAGACCAAAGCATTCAAAATACATTCACTGGCTTTGCATACAGTGAATTTTTGGGGGGATGTGTTGCAAATCACCCATTTTAGTATTTAGTATAGTAAGGAACTGCATTGATGTCCTTCCAAGCAATGAGGAACAGTTTTTCAGCCCTTTGTCATGTCTGCACCAGTAGCCATCAGATCCTGTGCACAGCGAGAAACAAACCTCCTGTGACTAAAATTAATTGCTGGTTCGTTGTGGTGCCCTGCACAATTTTATGATGCAGTGCAGCACACAGATTGTGAAACACTGCCCATTCTTGGCGTTGCCCATGCTTGGGTCCTTGCAGCACATGTCAGAATCTGGTGCTAGCCTCCAACCTATCAGTCCTCTCTGCGATCTTTCTTCCAGGCTTCTTGCCTACCTAACACTGCGGGCTATGTGCTGAATGAGGCTTTTCCAGGACTTGCTCCCTCTGCTTGATTGCTAAACATTCCTGGGGGCACGAGAGTTGCAAATGGCACTGGTGTGGACTCCTGCTTTAGTGCCAGCAAAGAGTGCCCAGTAGGCAAAAGGGAAGATGTTCGCTTAGTTCTGAAAGGAATCCTCACCGAATGCATTTGCCACAACATGTGAAAAATCCGCTGCTGTAGTTTAGACTGCAGCTTCCGCAAGAAGATTGCAATTTTGTTGTTTAATCGTTCTTGTTATGTCGATTGTGTCCAGTTCTTGGGGAGATGTGGAAAACGTTTGTTGTTGACTGTGCTCCGCCTGCAGGAAGCCACTTCAAAGTACCCAGACCTTGTTGTGGGTCTGACGTTGGCGAACCTGGGCAAAGACTCCAGGAAAAGGAGGTTGAGTGTATGGGGAGGGATAACATATACACTTCAGCAACCTTTCAGAACAGTGATCAACAATCCCCAGCGGACGCTGTGGCTCGTGGTGCTCATCGCCAGCCTGATGGCAATGTTCTATTGGCGGCTGTCCATGTACATGCATGGGCCAAAGTGTGACCTGATGGGATGGACGCTCCCCTTGGCCAAGGGCTGTGGGCAGATGATCAAACTCACAACCACATTGATCTTGTTGCCGGTGTCGAGAGCCACGATGACGTGGCTGAGGTGTGTGTCCTCTGGGGTGTTGGTGCTGTGGTTGCATTTGCCGATGTTGACAAGATCAAACCCATGTGCCTGTAAGACAACAAGAGGTGATCCCTTGCTGGGATACGATGACTGGTGTCATGTGTCACAGTGACAAATGGACTCGCTTATGGCACTGCCCCTGCAGCTGCACTGTTGGTGGCATTGTGTTGCACAGTTAGCTCAGACGGGGCCTGTTTTGGGAACAGCTGCAATATGTCGACGGCTGCTTGATCCGTTGGCAGGTTGATGAGTGCACATCCTCATGAATTGCATACCAGGTGTTGTATTCGATGTTGAATTCATTGCCCGCTTGCGAATGCCACCTGACAAGAGTGCCCCTCTACTTGAGCAGTGGTGCTTGTGCTTCCATGAAACCCTGCAGTGGCACTGCCACTTCAGCATGTGCACAAGTGCTTTGCAGTGTGAGACACTGTTGCACCAACATCACTGTGGACTTTCCTTGCAGGGCAACCCCTCTGCGACACATCATCCCCTTCGACGATGCCATGCAGTTCCACATCCTGTTGGGGACTCTCGGATTCGTCTTTGCATGGATTCACACACTTGCCCATGTGAACGACATCTACAAATGGGGAGATAGACACCATTCAGAATTGTTCAAGGCGGCTTTCCCAGAAGAGCAAAGGCAGCCATCCCACATGGAGTTGTGCATGTCTCTGGTTGCAGTGACGGGCATGATTCAGCTGATATCATACTCCCTGGTGTTCTTAACAGCTTCCAACTGGCCACGACGAGCACCATGGATGGTGAATACTCGGCTTGGGAAGGTGAGCATATAGCTTGTTTCCGTTCTTTGGCCTGTTTCTTCCTTAACTGGGGCTCCTGTTTAATTTCGGGGGGGGGGAGGGGGGAAAACCGTAGGGGGTCCTGTTCAGGGATTTGAGGTTCCAGTGTGTGGATGTAGTGAGGCACTGCATACAGTTTTGGGGGCATAACAAGCAACAACAGTTTCTCTCTTACAGTTTTAGTGCATGTGTTCTGTTTGGGCTGACTAATATCAGCACACTCTTTTACAATTGCTGTTCACTTCTGATGTTGGAGGGTCCACTTTTTTGGATTAGTTGCTGGCCTGGAGGTGTGCGGCAGCAGTGTGGGCACTCTGGCTGGTGGCCCATTGTGGCAGATTGCTTCAGCTCTGTTGTTGGACAATGACAATAATCTGGAGGATTCTGCCTGCCGGACTGCAAACTCGATTCTTGCTTCATTTTGAAATTGGAAGGGAATGCATGACGTTTGCTGTGCTGTTATGAGTGTTGGCACCAGTGTGTTGCAAGGAAATGCAACAATTGCAAAAACGCAAATATTGGAGATAAACATAACGCTGAAAATAGAAATTGCTAATAGGGAGAAAATCGCGGGGGACGTAACGTGGTCACAACTGGATGCAACAGATGTATTCAAACAGATGAAAGTACGATGTCTCACAGTCTAGAGCCTGGGCTCTGGGCAGTGTGCCCCCCAAGCTTGTGTCTGTGGATACAGTAGTTGAACTGTTTTTTTCAGCGTCCGAGTGCCTACCCCATCCTATCACAAGATATGTAGGCCTTGTGCCACGGAGCAGGTGCATGCAAGGCGATGTAAACCCCCATATTGTTTGAATCTAAAAGAATGCTCAGTCTCAAGGAAGAGTTGAGAGTAGTTCGACACTGCAGGGAGTCCTGGCAAATCAGCAACCAGAGTAAATCGCATCTGTCCCTGTGTTTGTTCTTATGAACCGAGACGAGACAGTTGTTAGTGGTGTTTGTGATTTTTTTGAGATTCCATCCTGTTTACAGGCTTCTCCCCCACTACTGGTGCTGACCCCTTTGCTTGTGTATTGGCATGCAGTATTTAAACAATTTCAAGTTGATATGGCGCGTGCACCACCTTGCTGCAGTGTACATAGTTTCTCTGCTGTTCCATCCAATGCCAAATCTTCCTGACGAATCTAATGAATGGGGCTACAGCGATGTCTGGGTCTGGGTCGGTGAGTCTCAGCACCACAACAGACAGCTGCCTGTGCTGTCGATTGTTGATTCAGCGGAAGTCTGCCTTGTTCCTCTGGTTGTGGTACCAAATGTTGTCCCTTTGGCCAATTGCAGTGTTATCATGCCTTGCACTATGTCAGCCCTGAACTGTAGTGCCCTGTTTTTATCGAAGAATATGTGGGAGATATGCACAGTGGCAAACAGTCTGGGGGGTGTCTGCAAGGTGTTTAAGAAGGGAACTGGCAGTGCGTGGCATATGTATGCTGCGCACATGTTTGAGATTCGTCCTGTAGCAAAGCATTTGGATGTTCTGTCTGTCAAAAGAGCACACTGCACTGACAGGATCAACACGCTCTTGGATGCCTTTGCTGGGTGTTCAAACATGATTTCCAGTGCTTCCCAAGTCGTTGTGAAGGTTTCTTTGCACATTAGCTCACAATATCCTCCCCCCTACATTGTTGTTTTACTTTTGCATCGTGTTCATGACAATGGTGTGATTGCCTGGAAACAAATGGATGTGAGTACATTAGCAGGGAACAGAAAAGATGCGTGTTTCATTAGCATTCAGAATAGGCTCACAGCAGCTAAATCTAAGAGGTCCACTTGTCAACAGAACTCGCATGTCACCACAGTGCACTGCTGTGTGTCCGCTCAATTGACGTTGTATCTTTCCACTTTTCCCACTGCTGAGCACACATCTACTGCAACACTCTGATCTCACGTGGCTGGTTTCCTTCAGCCGTGATACTGATGAGCTGCCCTGTGGCTTTGATGCCCTCAGGTGTTCCTGTGTTCATCTACATCCTGGAGAGGATTGCGCGGCTATACCGGCAGACGAAGGATGTCCAAATTCTTTGTGCCGAGCTGTTACCCGGCAAGGTGTTCTCTCTGATGTTGACCAAACCAAAGGGCTTTGAGTACAAAACTGGGATGTACCTGTATGTCATGTGCCCCACCATTTCTCAGTGGGAGTGGCACCCTTTCTCCATCACATCTGCTCCAGGGGCGGACCACTTGAGCCTGCACATCCGCGTAGTTGGTGATTGGACCGAGGAGCTGTACAATCGCTTCCTTTCATATGGTCGCACTGTGCGCCATGAGGAGCTGTTGCAGACCTGCCTGAGGACGTTTGTGCCCACCCTGGAGTCTAAAGCAAAGGCACAGGGACTACAGGACACAGAGCCATCCCCCGTGGCACTGGCAACAGTGTCGCAGCAAGTGCTGAACGGGATGCCTCTTGTGAAAGACTCCACCAGGATTGAACGCAAGGGCTCTGTGCCGCTGGAACACTGGCCTTCCTGCTTGTTGGAGCAGGGAATGGAACGCCAGTGGTCATCGAAGTCCACAAACATGGTCCGCCAACTGTCTGCCCCTCCATCGGTCATCTTCCCACCAGCCTCTGCCTGCGATGCAGAACTCAGGGGCGGCACCCCCTTCCATGTACCCATCTCCGTGAACGCCATGTATGAGGACAGCTGGGATGATGTTGGCCACAGCAGCGAGGGAAGCAGCGCAAAGGCAGCAGGCACCAATAGCACAAGCCAAGAAGAGTATCGGGTTGTGATTGTGGAGGACACATCTTCAGCAGAATCTGCCGTCTCTGCACTGTCCCCTGGGCTGTGTCCTGTGCGATCTTCCGTACGGTCGCTGCCCCGGTCTCCTGTGCCATCACCTGGACGGAAGGTGACTTTCAAAGGGCCAGCGGCAACTCCCTTTGCTTCAACGGCTGTCAGTCCCAGCTTGGACTGCATAGAGGAAGGGAGACCAGCAGATGAACCAATGCCGATCAAGGACAGCCCAGTGTACGCCCACACACCACGCTTGCAGCAGCGGCAGCACTCCTTCATTTACAATCTCGACCATGTGAAGAACCCGGAGATCGCAGCAGGCGACATTCCTGTGAAACTGCGCATCGATGGACCATTTGGAGCACCGGCACAGGGCTACACAGATTACTCCGTGCTGCTGTTGGTTGGGGCTGGAATCGGTGTGACACCATTTGCCTCAGTGCTGAGCGACCTGATCCACAGAATGCGGCAGTCTTCCAAGGAGGTGAGGCTTTGGACTTGTAGTGGTTCCTGCAAGGGAGCTGACCAAAAGCAGATGTGCCCTCGTTGTTTTTTTATATGGTACTTGTTTGGTGACCTTTGCTGCTGAACCATCATGTTGATTATATCTTGAATTATGGATGGACTGTGGTTGCCCTATGGCTTGCTAGGGCTGTTTTGTTCACTGGTCAAATGGTAAGTGCGTCATCACCAAAGGGTGACCCAGTTCATTAGTGTATCTAACTGAACCTGCCCTATCAGGACCATGCATCAACTAAGCGTTGATGTGTGAGTTCGGGTGCCCTGATATCGTGTGACCTGGCACGCAGGGCGCACACGCCAAGGTGGTGATCATTCATCAACTATTCAGGCACTAGTTCAGACAGTAGTTTCAGGCAGTACAGCACATTTTTTGTGTGAAGAGGAAGTGCTTCGGTTGCTGCAGTTTGTGAGTTTGTGCCTACATCCTTCCATAGCTGTGTAGTTACGGTGCAGCACATCATCATTCCATTTTCGTGCAGTCATTCCACTCTCGGTACAGAAAAATGAACGACAGATAGTGAATGAATGTGGAAAAACATACCAACAGCATATGTTGCTCTGCGGTGCCTTGTGTGTGAAAATGGGTTTATGCTTCGTCCGTTTTGGACAACTGGAGTGAATGGAGGGAGGGATGTTGATGTGTGGCTGGCTGCTCTTCCAGGGGTCTGTAATTCCACAGTTTCAGAAGGTCTACTTTTACTGGAGTGTTCGGTCACAGTCTGAGGTGGTGTGGTTCAGTCGGGTGTTGGAGGCAATCGGCAGAGAAGATGTGCTCGGAATTTTAGATATCAATGTGCACATCACAGGTCTGCGACAAGCCAATGACGTTCGAACCATGCCGCTCAAGGTGAGCTTCCATTGCTGGAAAGGCTGTGATGTGGGCACGTACTTGCATGTTGCAACCTTGACTATGGTCGCAAAGAAATTGTCAAAATGACAAGCTGTCAAGTCGTAAGGTCAGTCACTGAGAAGCAAAGAGAGCTGCCGTGCTATGGCAGCAAAGGAGTGGAGTTGTCACAGACCAATCTGTCCCTGTTGGTGAATGGGCAAGGTTGTGGAGAAGTGAATGGTGATAAGTGTCCGAGGAGGTAACCATTGCATTGGGCAAAATTTGTCTGCACCAGCAAATAGTGTGAGACTGCCATGCGGTTGCAGAAGAGGTCGAATGTTTTGGTTGTGCAGCTGCATAATCAGCTGTGTTTTAACTGATAGTCCTTGCAGTCTGTACCAAGGTATAGTGACGTTTTGAATCTCGTGTTTGTCAGTGGATCAACAGAACAATTCTTGTGTTTGCCCATCCGCACCCTCAGTTGTTGTATTCCACAGACAGGCATTGACAGACAACAGTTGTGTGGTGCGTTGGTCACTGAACGATTGGCGTTGTGTCGCTGTTCATGCAGTTGTTGCAGGTGGCGGTGCACAAGCAGACTGGCATGGATGTCATGTCGGGGCTCAACGGCCGTGTGCTCACCCGCTTTGGCCGCCCTGATTGGGCCAGGGTGTTCCGCGACCTGCAAGTCCGACACAGCAAGGAGAAGAAGATCGGCGTATTCTACAGCGGTCCCAACACGCTCGCGTCCGTGCTCAAGAAGCTGAGCAACAAGTACTCCACGCGTGGCAATAAATTCCATTTCACCAAGGAGGCCTTTGGTTACTGGTGACGCCTGCTTTGTATCCTCACTTGCCTTGAGCAGTAGGTTGTAGGAGCAGTCTGCTGTGGCAGCCAGGGTCTGGCCTCTTGAAGATTGAGAGCCGCGATGCGAGGGGCTTGTGTAAGCACTTGAGCACGGCACGCCCTGCTGAGCACGCCAGGTGTGCAATAAGTGCAGTCTACTGGATTGTTTATAGCAGCGAAGGTGTCGTGATCGATTTGGGATATTAGGAATTTGGAGGACAGCTCCGACGTGAACGATCAGAGAGCCTGGTGCACTTGGGCGATGGAGCAGCAGGGCCACTGTGTGCCGCGGATTTGGCACTTAGATATGAATAATGGCGACCACGCAGCGCTCCAGTTGCTTCAAGCACATCCAGCAATGTGTAGTGGTGGGTGTTGTAAAATTCTTGCAGACTGCGTTGTGCTTGATACGGCAGCCTTGATCGGGATGGCGTTAGGCGAGTTTCTGGGGATTGGCACTTCGGTCTATTGGTGCAGCAGAACAGGCAGTTGGCAATGCAGTTGCAGTGCATGGAAGCCCACGAGTCCAACTGCGGCTTGGGCGCCGTTCCTGCTGGGAACCTGGCTGCTGCTTTCATGTTTCAATACGTATGTCTCTATGCAAGATTGCTGTTCTGAGATTGGGTGTGGGATGGTGTGGAGAGGATATGCGTTGCACAGGTGCACAAACTGTCCAACAAAGCCGAAGCCATGCCGCATTCGCTCAACATATCAACGTGGGGTTAAGCAGCTCGACACGCAGCTCCCCTATGTTGGCGCGATACTTCTGAGCCATTTGAGATATCCGCAGCTAATGGACTGCAAGCACCATTCTCTGGGAGGGCGAATGCTGCAGCACAGCGGAGTGACCAGTTGACATGTTTCCGTGGCGCCCCACTTGAAAAATGGCCAGGGCACCACAGATGCGTTTGCTGAATGCTCCCTAGTGTTTGTTGAAAACGGATGAGTACTACGAATGGCAGTCCTTTAGCTGGTGCCACTCGTGCCAAGAACTCGAACACTCTCGCGCTGTCGCTGACCCTGCCAAAACTGTTGTCTCTTCTGCACATTGCACAGTCACAGAACACACGAGATGCCAATGCCACTCATACCCAACATGGCAGCGGCAGTCTTCAAGCTGCAGGATGTCCAAGGTGGCATCAATATTCATGTTTGCCCCACTACTATGTTCTTGGTGGTGGTGGAGATTCTATGTCCAATGGCTCATAGCCCAGAAATGGTTTCTGAGTGAAAGCACATCTATGGCAAATTGTTACTTGGCTATGTGCGGTGATGGCATATGCGGTTGAGTGTTGCAGGGTGTTTGCATATCATAGGGTTCCCAAGACGCAAACATGCAAACACGTGGTGGTTACAAAGGAAGCAAGCTGATCTTGTTTGTGCTGTCGATGGCAAGGAATGCTGCATTCAAACTGGGAGATGGACAAACAATTTGCAAGGCCCAGCCCCATGTAGGAACTGGCTTGTGAGGGTGCATGTGGGCGCCAATGGACCCACCATGAACGCGGTGTCTTTACATCCTTTTTGCACTCAATAGAATCGGTTTGAGCTACTAACCGACCAGCAGACCTTTTGTTATGCACATAGGCCTAGTGTGGACCTACGCCCTGCCATGGTCTTCTGCCCAAGATATGGTAACAGTACCTGAACCGGACATTATACGATTATACAATATGGGAGTAGGCCGGGGTGGTCCCACCTAGTTGCCCCTAGGTGTTATGTTGTATAAACGGGCGGTCATTAGGGGTTAATGAGTTGAATGGGCATACGGTGTGAGAATCGGAACTGTATCGGAACACGGAAAGAAAGGTTGTCTGCTTGTCAGACAATTGTGGCCACGTAGCGGCCGCCCGCCACATTTTGGGGCGTATCATAGTTATCGATATGGTACGGTGGTATGGGGTGAGGTACGGTGACGATGCAGTATCGATACTATGAGGCGGCCGGCCAACGGATGTAAGGCCGTGACCCCTCTTGCCCAGTAAACCTCCAATCGTGTAAGACCGTTGCACTACACGAGTGTGTCCCCGAGCCAGCCAATGTCGGCTGCACTGTGCCGTGAGTCCAAGTGTCCTGACCCGAGGCGGAGTGCGTGCGCGATCCCGCGTGCATCGATTCGGGGATCTGCGACTAGGGGCGAGCTGTTGGCCCACCAAGGGCGCGAGAGGCGCCTGACCACCACGCTTCCATCCTGCGCCAACAGTTGGTTTCGGAGCCTGCACGGAGCATCGCCAAGACCGCGAGAGCTCTTTGGCTTCATTAGAAGGCACAGCAAGCAAGTTGCGACCGGTGGCAAGGATCCCACCATGGCAGATTCAGGTCCGAGGTAACGCGGAGCCAAGCATCAAGTGAATCGCTGCAGGGAATCTGACCCGCGCAATCTGGGCCGTGTTCGCCAAAGGATTCCGCGACGTGGGGATTGCTGTTTGGGGCAAGTTGGAGTGAGCGCGCCATGCTGTGAGGGCCGAGGCGCAGCACCAAGAGTGGCGCACCAGGGGGGCCCGGATTCGAGAATCATCCAGCAGATTTGTCAACCCGGCTACCCAATAGCGACCTCAATCCGGGGGGGGGCTGTGTGATAGCGACCCCCAATGCATGAACTGCATCGAGATTGACCCGCGCCTGTGGACCGCAACGTGTGGCCGTCTAAGGAAGTGAAGCAAAGCCATCTAGGCCGCAAGCCAAGGCAGAGCAAAGCTTCGCGACTACACCGACCACTTCAGATCAGGAATCTGCGCTCGGCCAGCGAGCCAGAGACCCAGGTTTGCGGTGACGGGTGCTAGGCACTGGGTCAAGCGTGTGTGCAAGTTTCTCTAGAATTGTCCCTGCATGGTTCTATACCAGTATTTAGGACCCCACTGCCTTGCACTACGGGGAAGCACCCCGGGGCAGATTGGGATTTTTCTTAGTGCCCCTTAGGGGAAGTGGGGACATAGGATAGTTGCAACGTACTGGGACTGGCCCACCCAGGAAACTGCATGGTGCTGGGTGTGCATCGTCAGGCCTACTGCCAAACACTCTAGGTTGGAAAAGCGCCAACGCCCAATTGGGGATTATAGTAAATTCAGGCTTAGCTAGCTTCCCGCTGTAGGTAAAAGACTAGGGGAAAGAAAAGGCAAGGCCGGGAATTGGGTCAAGCTTTTCTTAGTAGGACCGGCTACCGGGGGAGGTCGAAGATCAAGACTACAATTTTGATTCTTCTGTATCTTCGCCAGGAGCTGTGATTTTTATTTTGACGGTCTTTTCAGTTACGGGAGCATCATTGCTTGGGACATAAATCGTGACAGCCAGGCTGGATCATCGACAGTGCCGGCAATGGATCAAAGCATGGATGTGGACGAGGAGGTGTCCCTTGCACCTGCCGTGCCAGTGGGGTAGGTAGGATCTGTCCCGTCTACCATTGTTTTGGATTCGAGCAATCTGCAGGACACCGCAACCTCTGCATGTGCCAGTGATGCGACATGGTTACCCTTAACGTCCGTTGCTAGACAAGGGTCGACTGCACCATTAGCGACACCTGCTGGGACATCTGCGGTACATGGAGCTGCGAGTTTCGTTTCCCAGCAGGGTGTGCAGTCATTGGCACAAACATTGAGCAGCAATCTGAGGCGATGAGTCAACAGCTGGTAAGTATGCGGGAGGAAGTTTCCAGAGCACTCACAAATATTGATCGTGCTATTGAGCATTCCTGGCAATACACGCCACATCATATTCAACACAGTGTGGATGCGACCGTGAGACAGTTTGAGGCGATGGGTGCTGAGACATCTGCACAAGCAGAGCGTACACAGCAGAGCAGTAGTGTAGCACTGCACCAGGCACAACAGGCAGCATCCATTGGGGTACAAGCTCGGAGTGTTGCGTCAGAGGCGCACTCCACAGGAACTGAGGCACTCCGTCATACAGAGGTGCTGATAAAAAAGTAGATGGAGGAGATGGACGAAATGAAAAAGCACATGGAGTCCATGAAAAAAATGCAAGAAGACTCCAAGAGCTTGGTGCAAGAGCTGCGCAACCTTTTGGTCAGAACTCAGGAGCAGCTGAAGTAGAGTAATGATAACATGGTAGCGGTACACGAGCAGCCACAGACTGAGAGAGGCAGGGTGGCAGAGATGGAGAGGCAGCTCCACGAGGAAAAGGCCAGAACTGCAAATATGATCAAGGCAGTGCAGAAAGTGCACGTGGATACAGCTGCCCAATCACAGATACTGAATGCGCAAGCTACTTCAGGCTCCGGTGCACCAAATTTGGAGGTGTACCAATTGGTGGAACAGCAAAGGGAGTTACTGAGTAGATACCAAGAGCTGACGAGGGTCCAAGCTCAGCGACAGGCATCCACCTCTGGTTCAACATTTGGACCCAAGCTTCCGATCCAGATGAAGCCCAAGGAGCCACCAACATTCACCAGACGCAAGCACCAGGATGTGGATATCTGGATACACCAGTTCGAGAACTACTTCACTTTGACGAAGCCCAGCGATGAGGACGGAGTCGCATATTTGGTGTTAATGTTAACTGGCTTTGCGAGGGACTGGTGGGAGGCGGAGGTTAAGTCCCATGGAGGTCGTCAGCCGGCAACGATTGCCGAGATGAAGATGTTGTTGAAGGAAGCATTTTGATCACCATTGCAAGAACGCCAAGCTCACGCAGAAATTCGCAATCTGCACTAGAAACCGGGCGAGGATTACCATGAGTACGCATCGCGGTACAAGTCGTTGCTTGCCCAGTTGCCAGCAGGGAGCTATAACGACACTGTCGCAATGGACGACTGGATTTTTGGACTCAATCCTCCCTACGGTGAATGTGTGATGGCACTGAAACCAAGGACCCTACAGGAAGCTATCTCCCTCATGGGAGAACTCGATATCGCGCACCAGTTTTGTAGACGCGATGAAAAGGGTTCCAATTCGCAGAACCCGAGTGCACAGTAGAGGTGGCCATCCGGATCCGTTAATAGCGGACAGAGGTTAATTTCCGTTAATTTTC